GGGTCCCGGAGAGCTGCGGGGGATCCCCCAAAGCCGAGGGCAAACCCTCCCCCCCTTCGCCCCCCCCCCCTCCTCTTCCCCCTCTCCGCCCCTTCCTCTTCTGCCCTTCCCACTCTCCCCCTCCCTTCTCTTCCCTCCCCCCTCCTCTTTTCCCTCTCCTGCTTCTCTCCTCTCCCCCCGCATCTTCCTCTCGTGCGGCCGCACAGAGGACGCAGCGATCGCTGCTCTTCTGCACAGGAAAGAGACCAAGCTCCTCATCCTGTCCCCTCTCAAAAAACGAAACCATTCTGGACGTTTGCAGCGTCCGTACATCTCTCCCCCTCCCTTCTCTTCCCTCCCCCCTCCTCTTTTCCCTCTCCTGCTTCTCTCCTCTCCCCCCGCATCTTCCTCTCGTGCGGCCGCACAGAGGACGCAGCGATCGCTGCTCTTCTGCACAGGAAAGAGACCAAGCTCCTCATCCTGTCCCCTCTCAAAAAACGAAACCATTCTGGACGTTTGCAGCGTCCGTACATCCGTGTAGGGTAGGGCGCTGAGCGGCTGAAACGCCAAGGCCGCCTCCACCGAGCGGAAGTCCCGCCCCGTCCTGGAGGCTCCGCCCCGTCCTCTTCCGCTCCACCCCACACAAAGTCTTCTGACTCGGGGACTCTCATTCTGTCACGGTCATCAGTCCCGCCCCTAGCTCCTGCCCCGACTCTCTCAGCACCTCCCTACTTCCTGAGGCCTTCCGGCCCTCCCAAAACCCGGTCCCTGAGCCCTACCGTCCAATCGCCGGACCCCGCACCTCAGGGCCCCGCCCCCAGGAGCCGGATCCCACCCCTCACAGATCCCCGCCCCCACCGAGTCTTTCGCACAGAGCTGCTGTCCCCTAGAAGCTCCGCCTTCCAAGAGCCGGCCCCCCAGAAGCCCCGCCCCTCACAACTCCATGGGTCCCTGAGCCCATCAGTCCTATAGCCGGGCCACGCCCTCACAGAGCCCTTCAGAGCGCTACTGCCCAGCAGCCGGACCCGCCCCCTGGAAGCCCCGCCCCCAAGCGTTGGGTCCCCGCCCCTAGAAGCCACGCTTCTCTCAAAACACGAAGCTCTGCCCTCAGTCTGCAGCCTCAGCACTTGTAATCCCCGGCTTCTCCTTCGGCTCTTCAGCCCACCCCCTCCACCCTACCCAGACACTAGAAGCCCAGTGTCCCACAGCCACACCAGCGTGAGCTTCAAATGCGAAACCTTTCGCCCACTGTGTCTTGTACCTTAATATCTACGGCCTCTTTGGTTTATTTCCGTAAGTTAAGGCTTTGGATGTGGTTTGTCTATCATTAAAAGGAAAGAAAACACAAAAAAACTTCGTGGGTCCCTAAATCCATCAGTCCCACATCCTGGCCCCGCCCCCCACAGGGCCCCGCCCCCACAGAGTCCCTTACAGAGTCTCTTACAGAGCGCCACTGTCCAACAACCGGACCCTCCCCTAGAAGCCCCGCCCCTCTCACAACTTCATGAGTCCCTGAGCGCATCAGTCCCTCAGCTGGGTCCCGCCCCTCACGGAGCCCTTCGCAGAGCCCCGCCCCCACAGACTCCTCACAGAGCCCCTCACAGGGCGCCGCTGTCCAACAGCCGGACCCGCCCCCAGAAGCCCCGCCCCTCTCGCAACTTCACGGGTCCCTGAACTCATCAGCCCCTCAGCCGGGTCCCGCCCCTCACGGAGCCCCACCCGCCACAAGCCCTGCCCCTCGCGGGCTCCCGCCCACCCGGAGCTCCGCCCCCAGCCCGGTGGCGGCTGGACCGTTGGCGCTTTCTGCGGGCGCGGGGCGGGAGTGAGCAGCCGTCCGGTAGGTGAGCGCGGCCGATGCGCCGCCCCGCGCGTCCTTCGTCCCCGGCGCGCGCTCCCGCCCCTCCC